GTACAATTTACACTTTTTTATTGACCATACTATAGCCAGTAGTTCAATTTATACCATTGCATATCTGGTTTCTGTGTCAGAAAGAAAACGAGAACCACACTGTACAAGTCTCCATATGTCCCCATGTTTTTGAAGAAGAGCATGCCGAGGCCATTCAGACGTGAGGCGTCGGTATGTAGAGCTGTCTCAAGGGATGGATCAAAATGTGCTAATATAGTTGGCTTGACTAACGCCTTTCGAACATTGTTGAATGCTTCATCGTGCCTCGCAGACCATAAGAACTGGTTTTTAGTTTTCAATAGGTCTCTTAAAGGTGCAGCGGTAGTACTGATTTCTAAAGAAAACCCTCCTAATTGATTTACCATGCCCATGAACGAGCGCAGTTCTGTTAAACAGGTGGGAATTGGGAACTTTTGAATAGCTTCTATATTCTATTCATCTGCCTTAATTCCATGTTTTCCAACTATGTACCCCCACATACTCTACCTCAGGCTTGGCAAATACAAATTAGTTTGGGTTAAGGGTCATACCTTTACTTCTACATCTTTCGAGAATCTGTACGATCTTTTTATAATGTTCTGGAAATGTTTCATCGTGTATTAATATATCATCGACCACCTTTTCTATATTATTTATATCTATCAATGTTTCGTCACCTTTTCTACAAAACTCATCTCCTGAGCTTATTAACCCCATAGGTGCTCTTAGAAACATGTATCGACCCCAAGGAGTTAGAAATGTAGTAAGTTTTTGACTCTCTTCATCCAACTTTATTTGCCAATATCCATTTGTCATGTCCATTGTAGAAAAATATTTTGAGTACCGGTTTATATTGGAAACGGCTTCCCAAAGGTATTTAAATGGATGAATAGGTCTTTTAATAAAACAATTTAACTTTGTAAAATCCACACAAACTCTGATTTTACCATTTTTTTTTTTTTTTTTGAATAATTACAATGGGACTAACAAAATCGGACGTAATGTCTTGAGCAGGTTTAATTATTCCCTTTTCCACTAGCGAGTCTAACTCGTTTTTTACTTGATCTCTCCAAGCAAACGGTATTCTCCTTGGGCAGGTTATGGCATATGGAAACACATTTTCTTTCAAATATATGTGCATATGATTGCCTTCCATTGGCTTTAGGGTGTTATCTGAGTTGAACACATCAGCATATTCGTTTAAGAGGAATGTTTTTATATCATTACATTCTTCATCAGAAGGATTTTGTAACATTGCAATTTTACAATTATTTATTTCTGCATTTAGAAGTGGAAGTGGTGCTGGAAAATATGGATGAATAATATCTAAGTTTATAAGAGTTTTGCGGTCTATTAGAAGCTCTCTTACTCCTGAACAGATGTATATCAAAACTTGAACGCTTTTATTATAGTACTTTATATTACAAATCAGATATCCAAGCATGTTTAATTTGGATTTATCCGCAGATTCCAGACTTATATTAGAACGTCTTAGATTTTTTGTAGTGTATTTTAATTTTTTCAAAAACTCTTCACCCGCAACACAAACTTCTGCCCCTGTATCCGGTGTTGCCTTGTATTCAAAATTCACGTCACTGGAAAGAGATGAAACTTTGATTCGTATTTGCTTTTTTTGACGATCGTCATTACATGACAATGACTTAATTCGAAGGCACCCAATCTTAAGAATTTCCGGATCTTCAGACGTGTATTCTACTGTTTGAATATCTTTTGATAAACAGCAACTGGTAAAATGGCTTTTTCTTTTGCATTTCTCGCAAATTGATGTTTTTGCAGGACATTCACGCAAATTTTTGTGCCACGGATTATTACATCTAGGACATTTCTTTTTGTTATATTTATTCGCCTGATTTTTAATTTGAATATTTGAAACATTACTTATAGACATGTTTTCTTCAATTAATGCAGCTTCTTCAGTTTCACATAATTTAACCACCTCTTCTACGCCTGCAGTATCTGATAACTTTCTACATTTTTTTCGAATAGAACCATCAAATACGGATTCTATAAGGTGGTCTGCTAAACATCTGTTATAACAGTGGGAACATGGATCTGTTAACTGAAAAAGTTTAACTTTTTCTGGACATAAATTGGATTCTTCTTAAACGATTGTTTTCTTTTTTCTTAAAATACTCCTCAAGTTTATTGAGTAAATCCACTGCTGTTAGATTATCTTTATTTTCAATTTTAAGTACCAATCTAACAACATCGGAAATATCCTGACTGAAAAAGGATTCAAGAAGCGCCACTAGTTGTTTTTCGGGAATACATTCCAAATTCTGTAATATCACGTAATTTTCATATTTTCGCCTCCAATCTTTAAACTGAGAAAATGTTAAAGATTCTACAATTTTTTCAGGATTCGGAACTGCACTTGAAAGGTGGATTTCAGATCTGGAACTAGTGGCCTTACTTATGATGGAATTTTCTTGACTAGCGTTGGAAATGTTAGTGGATATTTCAGGAGGTTCTGTTGAACTACTTTGTGTATTATTGTCTCTCATCACTAGACTTTCTAACATAGTCTGAATAGAAGAGCATTGTCGTCCAAAATTAGATTCTATCCGTACTAAAGCATCATTAGTTTTCTTTTCTAATAAAGTAATACTATTTTGTGTACAAGATACTGCAGATTCTAAAGAAGTCAGTCTACAACTAGTAGATTGCTCCACTTCTTCTACAAAAGTTTTGGACCGTAGATTTCTTTTTGGCATGTTGCTTTTCTTTACGTTTTAAATATAAGGCAATTCAACTAAATAACCACTGACTGCGCCATGAAACAAGTTGTAAAATAAATATTGCAATCCTTATTAATCAAACGTATATTGACAACACTATTTTATCTCATGACATTCGTATCCCACACAGTAGTTGACCCCTGCTAGTAGGAAGTAAGCTTATTAGACTATCTTCACACAGAAGGTTGAGGCAAGTTATATAAGTCGACAACCTGACGTCAGAGTTTCAATTTTATGATAGACGTTATACGTTAATGTTATCAATTGGATAGTTGAATTGAGTTATTGTAAAAGTTAAATTGAAATAAATTGTGATACCAAAAACCTGCGTAACATTGGTCTGTCACCACCGGTGGGATATAAAATAAAAGTTACTCAAGCATTCTATTCATGGTAAATACTGGATCCACTGCGCACGAAACAGATATGGATACTTCAGGCCCACCAGCATTGTTTTTGAATATGGAAGAGGAGAAAAAGGGGCGAGAGGAGGAACAGGAAAGGAGAGAAGAGGAAAAGGAAAGGCATAGGAAGGAAGAAGAGGAGGAAAATGAAAGGCGTAGGAAGGAAGAAGAGAAGAAAAATGAAAGACGCAGAAAAGACGAAGAAATAGAGAAGGAAGAAAGGCGTAAAAAAGCTGAGGTAGAAATTATGAATGGTTTGCTGCAAATTCAAGAAAACCTTAAGCAAGAAGTAGGTCAGCTAAACAGCCAAGTAGATCTCTTAACACAACAACAAGATAATTTAAAAGCCAATTTAGAATAGCAGCACGATAATCTAAAAACTAATTTAGAGAACTTAAAAACGAATTTAGAAAAACAGGAAAATAATTTGAAAGATTATTTAGAATAACAAGAACGGGCTAGAGTAGAGATGGAAAGGAAAATTAGAGCTGAAATGGCTGAGTTAGAAAGAAGAATCCGCAGCCAAGCTTCAGTAAATAACATTCAAGCTGAAAACACTAACTCGTCTTCATCTGTAACCGACCCAAGCCGTATTCAAACCGCAGTTTCACAAAACCATAGTA